CCATCTAGTGCCATCTGCTCACTATCCTATGACTGAAAAAGTACTTCCTAACGTCCCCATGATTTATCTTCGACCTTAATTACCGTGTCTGTCTCCCACTCGTTCCCTTTCATCTCAAACAACCTCTAACTATCCACTCTAATTCCCTGAGTATTTTGTATGTAGTGATCATGTCTCCCCTCTCTCAAGAATTATAATAATATTATTATTTACTATTACTACTGATATCAGTGGCAGTTTTACTGTATTTACGGCAAGCTCAAAATCCGTAGGGGTCATACAGAGCCTTGGGAATGGAAGATATACATCTTCAGTCCAATGAATATGAAGATGTATCCAATTCCCTGGATCAAGAGTCCTTTTTATTAACAATGTTAAACTATATATTCATATTACTAGTAACAGCTATAAATACTATGGCTATAACATCAGCGTTAACCTTCTCATATATAATATATATTTTATATCTAAGTATTATAAGTTTGGCACTAACGTGCCACCAGACTCCATGCAAAGTAAATTTTTCAAACTCTTAACTTCGGTAAAAAAATTAGGAATCTGGGCAGCCCGAGACTCTGTTTAATGTTAGATTAAACCAATTTTCCCCCTTAATGTTTATAAGATTTTTAATATTATTGTTTTATGTGTATTTATAGTGCTAAAACTCTACGGTAATCAACTGCCATGTTTCAGTACAAATGATACTACCCTCCCACATATATATGGAAAATATCGTCAGGTGGAGTTGAATGATAGCTCTAGGCCTTTCTTGTTGCAATCAACACATTAAGAGCTTGTAATAATGCAGAATTAGAGTAGGAAATCCAGGCAGATTCGTTCAGGGGAACGACTCTCTCTCCAGGAGCAGCTCTCCTGAACGACTCTCTCCAGGAGTAGTTCTTTGAAACGACTCTCTCTCCAGGAGCAGCTCTCCTGAACGACTCTCTCCAGGAGTAGTTCTTCTGAACGACTCTCTCCAGGAGCAGCTCTCCTTAACGACTGTCTCCAGGAGCAGTTCTCCTGAACGACTGTCTCCAGGAGTAGTCCTGAACGACTGTCTCCAGTAGTTCTCCTGAACGACTGTCTCTAGGAGTAGTCCTGAACGACTGTCTCCAGTAGTTCTCCTGAACGACTGTCTCCAGGAGTAGTCCTGAACGACTGTCTCCAGTAGTTCTCCTGAACGACTGTCTCCAGGAGTAGTCCTGAACGACTGTCTCCAGTAGTTCTCCTGAACGACTGTCTCCAGGAGTAGTCCTGAACGACTGTCTCCAGTAGTTCTCCTGAACGACTGTCTCCAGTAGTTCTCCTGAACGACTGTCTCCAGCGTTCTCCTGAACGACTCTGTCATCTACCTCGAGTTTCTACTTTATTTCTGCAACACCGCAAGCTCCTGACGATGTGTTGATTGCAGCACGAAAGGCCTAGAGCTATCATTCAACTCCCGCTGTGATTATTTCGCATCTTCCATCGTCGCTCGATCGCAATTTTTACCACACACACACAACACACACACACACACACAACACACACACACACACACACACACACACACACAACACACAACACGCACACATATTATATATATATAATATATATATATATATATATATATATATTATATATATATATATATATATATTTTATAATATATATATATATATATATATACACTTGTAGTGACTGTTGCATAGATTACCATAATAATCCAGGAAAAATCGTTGCTGGGTCCAGTAGCCGGTGACCAGTAAAGATGGCAGTACCAGCTGACCCGGGCTGCCTACTTTCTCTTTTTTTCTCTCTCTCTCTCTCTCTCTCTCTCTCTCACTCTCTCTCCCTAAACAAAACGTATAAACACAGTGAGATAAACGGAATAATGTAAACACTAAACAACGTAAACAGAAGACAAAAAAATTTAAATCTGAATAAAGAAAATGCTTAATAGAAACATATTTTTTTTAGCAGTGACTCTCATAAATATTTGATTACTAATTCTTAACTGACGACACTTCTCACCAGCAGAAGTGTCCAGCTTCGTCACTAGCATGAATGCTGGTGAGAAGTGTCCAGCTTCGTCACCAACATGAATGCTGGTGTGAGAAGTGTCCAGCTTCGTCACCAACATGAATGCTGGGGAAGGGAAATGTCCAGCTTCGTCACCAACATGAATGCTGGTGAGAAGTGTCCAGCTTCGTCCACCAACATGAATGCTGGTGAGAAGTGTCCAGCTTCGTCACCAACATGAATGCTGGTGAGAAGTGTCCAGCTTCGTCACCAACATGAATGCTGGTGAGAAGTGTCCAGCTTCGTCACCAACATGAATGCTGGTGAGAAGTGTCCAGCTTCGTCACCAGCATGAATGCTGGTGAGAAGTGTCCAGCTTCGTCACCAGCATGAATGCTGGTGAGAAGTGTCCAGCTTCGTCACCAACATGAATGCTGGTGGGGAAGTGTCCAGCTTCGTCACCAGCATGAATGATGGTGAGAAAGTGTCCAGCTTCGTCACCAACATGAATGCTGGTGAGAAGTGTCCAGCTTCGTCACCAGCATGAATGCTGGTGAGAAGTGTCCAGCTTCGTCACCAAACATGAATGCTGGTGAGAAGTGTCCAGCTTCGTCACGAGCATGAATGCTGGTGAGAAGTGTCCAGCTTCGTCACGAGCATGAATGCTGGTGAGAAGTGTCCAGCTTCGTCACCAGCATGAAAAGCTGGTGAGAAGTGTCCAGCTTCGTCACCAACATGAATGCTGGTGAGAAGTGTCCAGCTTCGTCACCAGCATGAATGATGGTGAGAAGTGTCCAGCTTCGTCACCAACATGAATGCTGGTGAGAAGTGTCCAGCTTCGTCACCAGCATGAATGCTGGTGAGAAGTGTCCAGCTTCGTCACCAACATGAATGCTGGTGAGAAGTGTCCAGCTTCGTCACGAGCATGAATGCTGGTGAGAAGTGTCCAGCTTCGTCACGAGCATGAATGCTGGTGACGAAGCTGGAGACGTAGAGAATCGTAGCTACGCGGCAAACATATCAATATTCAAATATTCAAACAGATTAATTACATCAAATAATTTTTTTTCTAAATGGGCGACCAATATGTTCAAATTAAAAGATAAAAAGTCTATGAAATTAAAATTGGACGGGAATCGAAAACACATCCGACAGAATTCTTTCAAGTGAACCACATGAAGATAAGGGGGAAAAAATTGGTCCGCTTAACGCTAGATCTGCACAACTTAGTGATAATGAGCAAGAAATGTGCTCGGTCTTTTTTACCAATTATTCTTGTCGGTCTTCACACAGGAAGACACCAACGATATCCCAGCAATGGATAATTATAGAGGTCCTTAGGTTGGATAAGTACATGAGTGGGAGGGGTTGGATTTGAGTGGGACTTGCACATCAGAGCTTATTTCTTGGGTGGCATTGAAAATTGGGTTGGGCAAATGTTTTGTTAGTGGGATGAATTGTAAAGGACCTGCCTAGTATGGGCCAACAGGCCTCCTGCAGTGTTCCTCCTTTCTTATGTTCTTATTAAGTAATACTAAGGATATATTTATCAAACAAATAGACAGACGGAAGCAAAATAAGTCATCAGACTCAGACGAACTGTCTTCAAAGATTTGTAGATGAATGGTTCAGAGAACCGACATGTTGATAAATTAGACACAGGTGCAACTCTTGGGTATCTTTATTGAGGAAACGTTTCGCCACACAGTGGCTTCATCAGTCCATACAAAGGAGAATCTTGAAGAACAGGAGGAGAATGAGGTAATCAGTCCCTCAACCTTGAGTCGATGTGTTCAGTCCATCAATCTTGAGTAGAATACGGCAGATGAGTGGAGAAGCAGCTTATAAACCGTATGGCAGGAGAGGTGCAGCAGTCATAGGTGGTTTTACATTTGTTCAGTGTGGAAGTAGGTTGTGCCCAAGAATTAGGCAAGCGAAAAATTCATCTACAAACCTGTCAGACACTGCAATTTCTTGGGATCTTAATACTTAGGATTTCTTCGCTTGCCTAATTCTTGGGCACGACCTACTTCCACATTGAACAAATGTGACACCACCTATGACTGCTGCACCTCTCCTGCCATACGGTTTATAAGCTGCTTCTCCGCTCATCTGCCGTATTCTACTCAAGATTGATGGACTGAACACATCGACTCAAGGTTGAGGGACTGATTACCTCATTCTCCTCCTGTTCTTCAAGTTTCTCCTATGTATGGACTGATGAAGCCACTGTGTGGCGAAACGTTTCCTCAATAAAGATACCCAAGAGTTGCACATGTGTCTAATTTGTCTTCAAAGATGTCTGAAAACTGCAAGATGAAATTTAGTAAGATACTAACTAGTCTGTTTGATATATTAATGTAAACGAGTGTCGCGGCGTGGATGTGGAAGTTGACAAACTTAATACCTATCTTCACATCAGGGGGAAAATTACCGTGCAATAAGCCTGACCTTAATACATCAAGGGACAAGACCGTACTACCAACTTACTGTGCAATAAGCCTGACCTTAATAACATCAAGGACAAGACCGTACTACCAACTTACTGTGCAATAAGCCTGACCTTAATACATCAAGGCACAAGACCGTACTACCAACTTACTGTGCAATAAGCCTGACCTTAATACATCAAGGGACAAGACCGTACTACCAACTTACTGTGCAATAAGCCTGACCTTAATACATCAAGGCACAAGACCGTACTACCAACTTACTGTGCAATAAGCCTGACCTTAATACATCAAGGCACAAGACCGTACTACCAACTTACCGTGCAATAAGCCTGACCTTAAACAATAGGAGTGAATAATAAAACACCCTGATAAGTGTGGTAGATACAGTGATACATGATACACATGTAACGGCCTTACAAAGCTCCTGTCCAAGTTTCGCCTGCACAGCAGGTAAATAGTCCAGACCATAGTCGGTACTGTATGTTACTTGTAATTATGTTCTTAAGTAGCACACTCCTTGTAATTTATCTTTCTGTTCCTCCACAGGTGGTGAACTGAAGCAGCCGAAGCTGAGTGTGACCTCATGCTGAGTGTGACCCCGGGTGACCTTTGACATCATGTTGAGGATGACCCTCCGACCACGAAGACGGGCGTACTGGGCGGCGCTTTGCTGGTGGTGGCTGCCACCCTTGATAGCTGGTCAGATCGGGCTCTTGTCTCCTGGGATATCTGCCGTGGGCGGCCCTCGGGCGTCTTGGTGGTGGTCGGGCGGGGGTGTAGCCGCCCCTAGCCTCCTGACGCAGCTAGGGGAGAGACCACCATTACCTCGACGAAGTCCCTCCACCAGGGAGAGCGAGATCGCTGCTATCTTCAGAGGTGTTGCCTACGGTGCCCCCACCAGCGCCCCCAACACCACCACTTCCCTGCCTCCCCCCACCACCACCGTGGACATTAAGGAGGGGTCTGCGCCCCCTGAGACCAGCGTGAAGCTAGTGCAGTTGCAGCAGAACGCAGCGACGGCTGACATTTCTTACATCGTCCACATCATGAGTAACATCACTGATGCTGCAGACGTGACGTCATCTCATGAAGGTGAAGATGCATCTCCTGAGGATGCAGACACATCATCACCCCATCCCAGGGTGGTGGAGGTTCCGTCACCCCACTCTACTCCTGAGAACATCCCCTCCCGCCCCCTGGGGGGCCATGAGGGGGCGTTTTGGGGTGATATGTCAGGGGTGAGGTGGTGGCTAGGTGCCGCTTGGTGGATCCACGTGTACGTATCAGCAGGTCTGCTGGCTCTGCTTGCTGCTGCTGCTCTCTGCTGTATGGCTCGCTCCACCCTCCTGCTCCCACGCCCACATTACCTCACCGCCCACGCCCTGGTCTTCCTCGGCGCCGCCCTCAGGAGTCTCCAGCTCTTCCATGATCCTTACGGCGTGGAGCGGCGGCTACCGACGGCTGTGGCGTCAGCGGTGGAGGAAACTAGTTGGCCGTGCCTGACGGCGGCGCTAGCGGTGGTGGTGGTGGTCCTGGCGCGGTCAGTCCGCACGCCGGCACGCCCACACGCCACCCTGGTTCTCGCCCTCATGACGGTGCTACACCTCCTGGTGTCTCTGACCGCCCACACTGCCGCCCACCTCCTCCTGCACTACGCTCTGCCACTGCGGGTGGTAGCACGGGCGGTTACCGCTACCTGGGGTGCAGGGGTGGGCGTGGGCGGTGTGTGGGCGGTGTGGCGAGTGAAGAAGTCAGTATCTGGGAGGCGAGGTCAACTACTAAGCCATGTAAGCCGAGGTGGGAGGTCAAGTGGTTTCCAGTGTGGCCTCCAGCGAGGTGCACACCTGGCACTAGTGGCCAGTGTGGCCCAGGTCATGCTGGCCACGTTACACCTGTACGTGCTGGTGGCCCCACTGGCACCTGCTACCCACGTGTGGGCATGGTGGGCAAGAGTGAGCCTAGCTAGGGGCCTGGAGCTTGTAGTAGGCCTTGCAGTGGTAGTCTCAGTGGGACTGGTGTCCCAGGGGCGTGCCCATGCCCCCCGGGATGCCCACATCTTCTCCATGTTAGGCAGCTGTGGACGTGAGGTGAAGGTGGGTCGTAGTGCCAACGTGTTTCCTGCCTGTGAGAAGCAACACATCCTTGGCACCTTCAGGCCCCCCCACAACCCACCCAATCAAGCCTACAAGCCGCCCATGCTAGACTGGGCGTCGCCTGACGAGCCTGAAAAGTCTGACGTTCCCTCGGTTACATCAGACTTTCAGTTAGTGTGGAACCGCGAACGGACGCGCTCCGCTACTGAGTTCAGGCCGCCGCGCGCTGCTACTGAGTTCCGGCCACCGCGTTCTGCTACTGAGTTCCGGCCACCGTCCATGCTAGTAAACGATAGCGGCTTCGTGAGGTTCCGTACGGGTGTTGACCCCCAGCAAGCCATGGACGACGTCTTCAAGCAGTCGTCGCTCAACCTGCGCGACGCCTCGTACACCAAGACGCACGAGAAGAACGTGCGCAACAGCGCAGCGTCGTACATCACAACGCACCAGAACTACAGCAGCCAGACGCTGCCGTCTACCAGATACTACTGTGGTCCAGGACCTACTTTCTCCTCCCCAGAGAGAACCCCCATTAGGAGACCTATAAGATCACACACCGCCCGTGGGCGGCGGGCGGCTCAGGAGCTGCACTCCGCCCACCACCAGACACTACCCATTACCTCCGCCAGCAGATACGACGTACACACTCTGGAAGACTATGAAGTAGCATCGTACTACCACCACCAATCCGGCAGCGTCTCCGGCAGTAGCAACATGTACTCCACGCCCATGTCCCCGACGCAGTGTGGGCGGCAGCAGCAGCCTGTGGGCGTACATCGTGGGCGTACGACGACGCAGCAAGACGCCCTCAGTGGTGTGCTTGAGCCCAGTACCTGCTCATCACTGTCGGAGATACACATCGACTACCTCACTGATGTCTCTTCTTCCAACGATGGTGTCAATCTAGGTTCCCTTCTCCAACAACGCCTCCACCCCCACCACCTCCTTACCCTTCCCCTAACTGCTGCCCACAACCCCCGCCCTGCCCACTGCCGCCCAGCCAAACCAGATCTTCTTGAAGCTGGCCACCGGGAGGAAGTCAAGCCCAACTCCCCTGAGGGGAAAGAGGATGTGTGCGAGGGTGAAGGGGTGCAAGTTGAGGGGATGCAGGTAGGGGTGTGTGAGGGAAAGCCTCAGGGGGGAGGGGGTCGAGCTGGGCTCCTCAGTAAGCTAGCGGGGAGTGGTTTAAGTGCTACTTGCTATGGCTACTCCCCACTGGATCTAGAAGACACTTCGTCCCCGTCCCAAGATGCTGCCCCTCCTCCAAGCACCTCCCCTCCATCCTCACCCCCCTCCAGCCTCCACACCTCCAGGACTACCTCCACCCTACCTCGACCTCCAGATATAGTCACCTCACTTTGAAGATTCTCAGCATCTCTCAAGGAGTTCCCTTCCTCAGCCTCTTCATCTCACTGTATATACATCATCTCTCCTCCATATTTCTTTCCCTCCTTCCGCCTTCCCTTCCTCCATTACTCCTCCCTCCCTCCATCATCATCATCATTTCCTCACCCCCAGCTTCCTCACCTCAATGTATATAGATCATATCACCTACATCTTTTCTCCATCATCCCTCTCTCCATCAGCCCTCCCTCCATCAACCCTCCCTCCATCAACCCTCTCTCCATCACCCCTCCCTCTATCACCCCTCCCTCCATCACCCCTCCCTCAAGTATAGAGGTAGGCTCTAGAATTTAGATAAAGGCCAAATGTTTGTGACGGCCGGTGAATTATAACTTTCAAAAAGTAGGCTGTGACAGCCTGTAATTTAGAAACTTCAAAAAGGAGGCTGTGACAGCCTGTAATTTAGAAACTTCAAAAATTAGGCTGTGGCAGCCTGTAATTTAGAAACTTTGAAAAGTTATAAAAAACTTGTGTAGGCCTATGATTAGAAAATTGACAACGTGTGAATCAGAAATTTTAAAAGCCTCTACTCACCTACTTGTGTTTGCAGGGGTCGAGCCACCTGGCCTGCCGTAGCTACTCTTGAAGCCGTGTACGGAATGTGCAGCTCTGTAAAAAATAAATTAAAAACTTACGACCAGAAATTCGTGTAGGCTGCTTTTGGGAATAGCTGAATACCAGGTGATCAACTCGGCTGTTGTGCAAGACATCTTGCACCACCAGCCGTCAAGTGTATGGTTTAAGTGACTGTGATAAGTGCCCTCTATTTTTATAAGTGTACGTTATACACGACTTATACTGCATGACATTGTCTAGTCACAATAAACCGAACAATAATAAAAACCTAACAGTCTTATGAACCTTTACTTAAAAACCCAAAAAAATATCAACTAATATACACATTATATATATATATATATATATATATATATATATATATATATATATATATATATATATATATATATATATATATATATATATATATATATATATATATATATTATTATATATATATATATATAATATATATATATATATATATATATAATATATATATATATATATATATATATATATATATATATATTATAATATATATATATGTGAGGCTCAAGTTAGAGTATGTAGGAAAGAGGGAATTTTTTCCCAGTAAAAGTAGGCCTTAGACAAGGATGTGTGATGTCACCGTGGTTGTTTAATATATTTATAGATGGGGTTGTAAGAGAAGTAAATGCGAGGGTCTTGGCAAGAGGCGTGGAGTTAAAAGATAAAGAATCACACACAAAGTGGGAGTTGTCACAGCTGCTCTTTGCTGATGACACTGTGCTCTTGGGAGATTCTGAAGAGAAGTTGCAGAGATTGGTGGATGAATTTGGTAGGGTGTGCAAAAGAAGAAAATTAAAGGTGAATACAGGAAAGAGTAAGGTTATGAGGATAACAAAAAGATTAGGTGATGAAAGATTGAATATCAGATTGGAGGGAGAGAGTATGGAGGAGGTGAACGTATTCAGATATTTGGGAGTGGACGTGTCAGCGGATGGGTCTATGAAAGATGAGGTGAATCATAGAATTGATGAGGGAAAAAGAGTGAGTGGTGCACTTAGGAGTCTGTGGAGACAAAGAACTTTGTCCTTGGAGGCAAAGAGGGGAATGTATGAGAGTATAGTTTTACCAACGCTCTTATATGGGTGTGAAGCGTGGGTGATGAATGTTGCAGCGAGGAGAAGGCTGGAGGCAGTGGAGATGTCGTGTCTGAGGGCAATGTGTGGTGTGAATATAATGCAGAGAATTCGTAGTTTGGAAGTTAGGAGGAGGTGCGGGATTACCAAAACTGTTGTCCAGAGGGCTGAGGAGGGGTTTTTGAGGTGGTTCGGACATGTAGAGAGAATGGAGCGAAACAGAATGACTTCAAGAGTGTATCAGTCTGTAGGGGAAAGGGAAGGCGGGGTAGGGGTCGGCCTAGGAAGGGTTTGGAGGGAGGGGGTAAAGGAGGTTTTGTGTGCGAGGGGCTTCGACTTCCAGCAGGCATGCGTGAGCGTGTTTGATAGGAGTGAATGGAGACAAATGGTTTTTAATACTTGACGTGCTGTTGGAGTGTGAGCAAAGAAAACATTTATGAAGGGATTCAGGGAAACCGGCAGGCCGGACTTGAGTCCTGGAGATGGGAAGTACAGTGCCTGCACTCTGAAGGAGGGGTGTTAATGTTGCAGTTTAAAAACTGTAGTGTAAAAGCACCCTTCTGGCAAGACAGTGATGGAGTGAATGATGGTGAAAGTTTTTCTTTTTCGGGCCACCCTGCCTTGGTGGGAATCGGCCAGTGTGATAATAAAAAAAAAAAAAAATATATATTTATATATATATATATATTATATATATATATATATATATATTTTATATATATATATATATAATATATATATATATATATATATTATATTTAATATATATATATATATTCACACATTACATGAAGTGCTATATACCCGTGTGGGTTATTGAGCATAAGGAGTGGTGGAACCTTCTTTCGTCCACTTAAACACTAAACTCGTATGGGCCATACAGCCTCGTACTGAAATAATCATATTTATATATATTATATATTATATATATATATATTATAATATATAAATATATATATATATATATATATATATATATATATATATTTTATATATATATATTGGTTGTCATAGCAATCAATTTTTTACCAAAAATGGAGCTAAAAGTTGAGAAAAAGATAGAGATTATCTTTAAGGCAGAACCTATTTTTAATTAAAATATTAAGCATCTTTATCTCAGCTTTAAGACAGGAGCTTTCTTAAACCAGCATTGTAAATATTTTTATCTAAGATACTTTTAAGATAAGAGCTATCCTTAAGACAGAAGGTATCTTTATTATCTAAGATAACTTTAAGAAAGGAGTTATCTTTAATTAGGAGAGGAAGTATCTTTAAGACAAGAGGTGTCTTTAAATTAGAGAATAATCTTTAACAAAGATAGCTTTAAGAGAACTGTTTATAAGTAAGATATGAAATATCTTTAATCAAGTCGGTTATCATAAGAAGTGATAAGAGCTATCACTATAATAAGCTATCTTTAAAAGCTAATTAATTTGAGCGAGCCTTAAGAGAAAGGTAACTTATTATAAGCTAGCTTTAAGAGAGCTCTCTTAACTTAAGATAGCTTTAAGAGCGAGGTATTTTATCGTAAGCTAGCTTGAAGACAGAGAGCTAACTTAACCTAAGATAGCTTCAAGAGAGAGGTATCTTATCATAAGATACCTTGAAGAGAGAGCTCTCTTAACCTAAGATAGCTTCAAGAGAGAGGTATCTTATCATAAGATACCTTGAAGAGAGAGCTCTCTTAACCTAAGATAGCTTCAAGAGAGAGGTATTCTTATCATAAGATACCTTGAAGAGAGAGCTCTCTTAACCTAAGATAGCTTCAAGAGAGAGGTATCTTATCATAAGATACCTTGAAGAGAGAGCTCTCTTAACCTAAGATAGCTTCAAGAGAGAGGTATCTTATCATAAGATACCTTGAAGAGAGAGCTCTCTTAAACCTAAGATAGCTTCAAGAGAGAGGTATCTTATCATAAGATACCTTGAAGAGAGAGCTCTCTTAACCTAAGATAGCTTAAAAGAGAGAGGTATCTTATCATAAGATACCTTGAAGAGAGAGCTCTCTTAACCTAAGATAGCTTCAAGAGAGAGGTATCTTATCATAAGATACCTTGAAGAGAGAGCTCTCTTAACCTAAGATAGCTTCAAGAGAGAGGAAACTTATCATAAGATACCTTGAAGAGAGAGCTCTCTTAACCTAAGATAGCTTCAAGAGAGAGGTATCTTATCATAAGATACCTTGAAGAGAGAGCTCTCTTAACCTAAGATAGCTTCAAGAGAGAGGTATCTTATCATAAGATACCTTGAAGGAGAGCTCTCTTAACCTAAGATAGCTTCAAGAGAGAGGTATCTTATCATAAGATACCTTGAAGAGAGAGCTCTCTTAACCTAAGATAGCTTCAAGAGAGAGGTATCTTATCATAAGACACCTTGAAGAGAGAGCTCTCTTAACCTAAGATAGCTTTAAGAGAGAGGTATCTTATCATAAGACACCTTGAAGAGAGAGCTCTCTTAACCTAAGATAGCTTTAAGAGAGAGGTATCTTATCATAAGATACCTTGAAGAGAGAGCTCTCTTAACCTAAGATAGCTTTAAGAGAGAGGTATCTTATCATAAGATACCTTGAAGAGAGAGCTAACTTAACCTAAGATAGCTTCAAGAGAGAGGTATCTTATCATAAGATACCTTGAAGAGAGAGCTCTCTTAACCTAAGATAGCTTTAAGAGAGAGGTATCTTATCGCAAGCTAGCTTTAAGAGAGTTAACTTAACCTAAGATAGCAGGCTACCTTTAACTATCTAAGCCAGCTTTAATTAAACGGTAGTTATCTTCAATTAATAAGCCAGCTAGAGAGCTGAGCTGAGCTGAGATGAGCTGAGATGAACTGAAATGAGCTGAGCTGAGATAAACTGAGCTGAGATGAACTGAGCTGAAATGAGATGAGCTGAACTGAGATGAGCTGAACTGAGATGAGCTGAGCTGAGCTGAGATGAGCTGAGCTGAACTGAGATGAGCTGAACTGAGATGAGCTGAGCTGAGATGAGCTGAATTGAGATGAGCTGAGCTGAGATGAGCTGAGCTGAGATGAACTGAGCTGAGCTGAATTGAGCTGAGATGAGTTAAACTGAGCTGGGATAGGTAACAGTTCTTTGATTGTAAATCAAGGTATAAACTCTTAACCCTGTCAAAAGGGAGAGAGAGAGAGAGAGAGAGAGAGAGAGAGAGAGAGAGAGAGAGAGAGAGAGAGAGAGAGAGAGAGAGAGAGAGAGAGAGAGAGAGAACTATCTTTAATTCATGAGAGGTTTAAAAGACTATTTTAATTTACATAAGATAAATTTTAATATATAAACAAGAGAGGAACTTGAAGCAATTAGCGTCCAAAACTTGTACGGTGATTGTATCTTTAAATTGGACACGCCCATAGCCTGCCCAGGTCTGTATATCCTCTCTGGTACTCCCTGGTATACCCTCCCTGGACACGTCCATAGCCTGCCAAGGTCTGTGTATCCTCTCTGGTACTCCCTGGTATACCCTCCATGGACACGTCCATAGCCTGCCAAGGTCTGTGTATCCCCTCTGGTACTCCCTGGTATACCCTCCCTGGACACGCCCATAGCCTGCCAAGGTCTGTGTATCCTCTCTGGTACTCCCTGGTATACCCTCCCTGGACACGCCCATAGCCTGCCCAGGTCTGTGTATCCTCTCTGGTACTCCCTGGTATACGCTCCCTGGACACGCCCATAGCCTGCCCAGGTCTGTGTATCCTCTCTGGAACTCCCTGGTATACGCTCCCTGGACACGTCCATAGCCTGCCAAGGTCTGTGTATCCTCTCTGGTACTCCCTGGTATACCCTCCCTGGAAACGTCCATAGCCTGCCAAGGTCTGTGTATCCCCTCTGGTACTCCCTGGTATACCCTCCCTGGACACGTCCATAGCCTGCCAAGGTCTGTGTATCCTCTCTGGAACTCCCTGGTATACCCTCCCTGGACACGTCCATAGCCTGCCCAGGTCTGTGTATCCTCTCTGGTACTCCCTGGTATACCCTCCCTGGACACGCCCATAGCCTGCCCAGGTCTGTGTATCCTCTCTGGTACTCCCTGGTATACCCTCCCTGGACACGCCCATAGCCTGCCCAGGTCTGTGTATCCTCTCTGGTACTCCCTGGTATACCCTCCCTGGACACGTCCATAGCCTGCCAAGGTCTGTATCCTCTCTGGTACTC